TATAGAACAGAGAGTTAAAGGAAGTAATAAGTATGTTTTTCAAAATAAAGTTGACATAAAGAATCATACTCAATGTAAAAAAAAACTCATCACGGAAACATTTAAAATCCACCAGGCAAGGATCTAGTTTGGCCGTTTTCTTAAGGATCGATATTGGCACATATAGTTTGTTGCCCCGTCGGAACCCTGAAGGCAGGTGGGATCACACTTGTTGAGACTTTGCCTTTAAGTGCAGCGAGAGTCGCTGGCAGGGGGTGCACTGTAAGCGAGGAGGTAATGTGGTTGAGGACCGTAATACTTAAAGTGAGCCAGGACTGCTTCACGGGATGTAAGTGGGGAGTGCTGTACAGAGGTGACTCTGGCTGGAAGTGAGCCAGGAAGACTGGTTAGAAATCTGTTTCATTTATCCCGTGTAAAGATAGATATGGCATAGTGCTGTTAAAAATGAGAAAAGTTGTGTTTGCATGCTCAGCATACCTAGGTGAGTGAGCTTAACACACAGAACGATGCACTGATAAAGGTCTGGGCTGATAATAGGAGTGGAGAAAGTAAGTTTATGGATTTTTAAATATTCCTCACAGGCCTGTGAACTAAGTATTGAACAGCACCAAAAGCTAGGTAGACCCACAGTCATTGAAATAATGGCTATTAAAGGGGAAAGTCCGACTTTTAAAGCTGAACAGTTACTGGTGTTTTCTGCTCACGTCAGCTAATTTTATTGTCTGTAATCTGCAGCCCTTTGTTTTATTTCTTGATCAGTCTAAATATATCTTTACCATCGAAATAACTGCACTACTATTACTAAGTATATGCTGGAATCTTGAAACAATTGAAATATGAGCTTTAGCCAAAGAGAAGTACAGGATACCAGACGCAGATTTTGTCGTTTAGTCTGGCTGAGAGCTCAGGCAGCTAGCTTCCGGGTGGACGTGGCATAGCTGCTAAGGGTTTCAGAATGACCAGGAGGGAGTACACTGGGTAAGAAAGAAATGAGTTTCACACAGGGGAATTGGCTTGTGTGAAGTTTCTGAGGTTTAAGACTACTCTATATGGTTTGAGAATAGAGTGACAATATAATTGTAGAAAGTAAAAACAGTTGTCCTTCTGAAATTTAAGATGATCTTTTAATAGTAGACAGAAGGTATGGATCTAGCTGTGTCACAGTGTGAAAATTACTTTGGATAATTTTTTTTTTTTTTCAATTTTAGGGAAGGGTCTACAAAGTGTTCAGGGTCTCACAACTAGATTGGACTCAGTGATCCAGCTGTTTACAGCCTCCTGAGAGCTGGGATTACAGGTGCACGCCACCACACCCAGTCTCATTTGCCATCTCAGCAGGCCGGGGGTTGGGAGGGCACAGTAGGCTTGAGGATGGAACCCCCAGCCCCTGTGCCTGCTTCGGTGCTTCAATCTGCTGAGCTATTTTGCCAGCCCTAAGAATTTTTATTTTTATAAAATGAGGTTAGTTTGTGATGTTTATGATCACTCTAGCTGAATTTAGCTACCAATCCAGTTTGACTGGATCTGTTAAGAATACTCATCCCATGCTTCCTAGAATTAGAAATCAAATGTAATGCAAAAATGGTACACAGTTCACTCCTTGATATTGGTCATAACCCGAACTGCACAAGAGCTGAATCAAATTTCTCCATAAGGTCAACATTGAACCTAATGATTGAATTTGATTTGGTTTTCGTCCAACTTAATTTGTGACCAGAATTGTGGAATCAAGTTTGTATAATTGTGCAGAGAATATATTTTATGAATAATAAGCTAGTTCTTATTATAGCTATTTACTAATAAGCTATAATATATGTTAATAATGTAATATCTACTACCTTTCTATTTTATTAAAAAACCTGTGCATAAAATACATTTTTAAGAGACATACATGTTAATGTTACTTTTCAGTGTTTTCTTCATGCTAACTCTTTGCCAGAAACTTTTATAGGCATCATTTCATTTAATGATTGCAACACTTTGAAATAAGTTACTGCTGTAGTACTGTTATCCCCATTTTATAGGTAAGAAAACACACTGAAAGCTAGCATGTCTTGCCCAAAGTGACAAAGGTGGGTAAGTGGTGAAAAGAGGGAGTAGTGGTAGTACTACTAGAAGTGGCTGGTGAAAAAAATAATGAAAAAGGAGAAGTGCAGCTTCATTATAAGTGAGTTCCAATGCTTTAGTCTATGAATGAACATCTTCATGATAGATTTCAAAGGCCAGTTGTTCCTTGAGATTTGAATAATGGATTTGACTGATACATCTGCCTTTTCTCAGAGTTACATACTTGAAAATATGTGACCTTAGCACATAACTTTCTTTCAGCCCATCTGGTAAGCTTGTCCAGATTGAATATGCATTGGCAGCTGTAGCTGGAGGAGCCCCTTCGGTGGGAATTAAAGGTAAGGAAGTCTTTGCTCAGATGGTTTTTTAGTAATTATCTTAATTTTTTTTTCAGATTGTTTATAAATAAATAGCTGTGGTAGCAAGTTTTTATCAGTTTATTTTTGCTACAATATTTTGAATTTTAAAGAAAATAGTAATAAGCCTGTGAAATGATTGTAGTTTCTTTTCAGAGAAAATTTAGCCCTTTAAAACTGTCCTGCCAATTTGATTTGAAACTGTCTCGTTGCTATTTGTTTCTCAATAAAATTGTGGAAAAAAAATTTAGTCCCTTTATGTATTAGTTGTGATAGCCCACAAATTATTCTTTCTGTTCAGAAAATTGAATATTCTTTCATTTTTCCACTGTTTTTCATTGTTCCCTGGCAGTTTTTATCCTTGTGTATTTTTTTGTAATGCTAATTATAAAACAGTCTAAAGATACTACAGTTGTTTTATATCGTAATAGCTTTTAAAAGGTTCTACGTTTATTTAAAATTTTTATGTTAAAAGTACCATTGGTCAGGTTGCCAGAAATTTATTTTTTCGTGCAGTATAAATGACCAGTGAGGGTGACAAGGATTTTACTAGTCCTTAAGTAATTTTGATATAAGATTCCTGAAGAAAAGGTTTTATAAATTACAGGAAGTAGAGGAGTTTGGATTTAATTCATCCATAACTAAACAGCTGTTGAAACAGTGCCTTTTAAATGGATAAACATGCAGGTATATTTTTCCCCCTTAAGCTGCGAATGGTGTGGTATTAGCAACAGAGAAGAAACAGAAGACCATTCTGTACCATGAGCGAAGTGCACACAAAGTAGAGCCAATTACCAAACACATAGGTTTGGTGTACAGCGGCATGGGCCCAGATTACAGGTACTTTATGTGGTTTATATTGTTTTTCATCATCTCATGAATTGATTATAATCTTGATTGTAATACTTTTAAGGAGAACAGTCACTGGTAGCTGGATTGGGATTTTTTAAGGAACTCACTACCCCTCCATTATGAAAAAGGAAATAGATACATATTTCTCTTGTTTAGTAGACCTTACCTTCTGATAACTGCCCTTTTCTATCTACATCCAACTATTGGACATAAAGGGGTTTGAGGTTTTGTAATGCACTGTAAAATGATCAAAGGAATACTTGTTATAATTAATAATTTTCAAAAAGATAAGGTGGTGTTTGGGCATGGAGGTAATGCCTATAATCCTGGCACTCAGGGGGCCTAGACAAGAGAATTGCTGTAAGATTTGAGGCTAGCCTGGGCTACGTAGTAAGTTCAAGGCCAGTCTGAAATACATAGTGAGACTGTCTCAAAAAAATAAAACAGAAAGCGAGGTGACAAATCATCACCATCCAAATTAACCTCATTATCTTTATTTTAGTTTTTTGTCAAAGGGTCAGAATTCCCAAAGGCCATCGGATGCTACACAATGTGACTGTCAGCTGGGATAAAGATATTTATAAATTGTCTAGTATTTCACCAGCAAGTTGGAAGTGATTGACATCTTGTTATATCTGTCAGTCTGTAGCATTGACAACTTTTGTAGAGTAGACAGAGCCAACATTTCACTTCAGTGAGGCAGAGAAACCAGCAGGATCACTGGAATGTGATCAGCCTCTGAGAGTGGGAGGAGTGACCACTGTATGGAAGGGATGCTGCCATTGTGCCGCCACTGATAGATTCTACCTAGGCGGGAGAAGAGTATCATACAAAGGACTAATATGCCTATTCCAGATCTGGAGTACATGAGCATAGCGATAAGTCCTATATGTCCTGCTAATATATTTATTGTATATCTACGTGTTATTTATATTTACAATTAATTATTTTTATTTATTTTTCTATATTTTTTAGGGAAGGGTCTACAGGGTGTTCAGGGTCTCACTACTAGATTGGACTTGTAGTGATCCACCTGTGTACAGCCTCCTAAGAGCTGGGATTACAGGCAGGCACCACCACACCCAGTCTCAATCATCATCTCAGTGCACCTTGGGGGCAGAGCTGCAAAGCAGGCTATATTTAAAATTAAAAGTAGTTTTTTACTCCTTAATCTCTGAAGGGTACTCTGGAGTATAGAAAGTCTGGAGAGAAGATGGAGGCAGAGTAAGAAAAAGAAGCCTGAAATTGTGTTCATATGTATATTGTGTTTGTGGGCTTGGTGAAATGTAAAAAGATATTACCTGGGCCTTGGGATACAGGTTACAGTCTTGGAGCTGTGGAGGGAGAGAAACGTCACCTTTTTTACTAGCTATTCTGTCTTGTTCCTGCTTTTCTTTCTTTTCTTTTGTTTTTTATCTCCTGTTGGTCACCTCCTCTATGATATTTTGATATGTTCTTCTAAATCAGTTGAGATCAGACTACAGAGTAAGATTAACAGACCAACAGCTGTCTTTAAGATAATATGTTAACCTTATGCTATAGTTGTATGCTTACAGAAAAAGAATAGATCTTCAAGTAGTAAAGCATCTTAATTTTAATTGATGCTTCCATTTCCTGGTGTGCTAGAGTGCTTGTGCACAGAGCTCGGAAACTCGCCCAGCAGTACTACCTTGTTTACCAGCAGCCCATCCCCACAGCCCAGCTGGTACAGAGAGTAGCTTCCGTGATGCAGGAATACACCCAGTCAGGGTAAGAGGCTTTTATTATTTGAAATACGTCATGAATTAGGAGGGGAAAAATTATTTTAAAAGGATGAGTTTTTAGGGGGAAACTTAATGGTACTATATGTAACAAGAAGAGATGGTCACTATGTTGAATGTTTCTGTTCTTAACTAGACCTAGAATACTTTCTTAGGGAAATGTGTCAATGTTTTCATCTTTAAAGTGTGTAGGTAGAGTTCTTTTTGCCAGTGTTTAAAATACCTATTTACAGGCAGTCACCACTGCTCCATTATCTTTCCAGCCAGAAATGATTGTGAGCACATGGTGAAAACAAACATTGTGTTGATTCTCATTCCGTTGAGACTGGGCGTGGTGACGTGTGCCTATAATCCCATTACCTAAGTTTGGGTTTAGATAAAGTAGCATAAACATAGTTGTTGATACACAAACCCAGGAAAATCTACATGAATTGGAAATTGTACTTATTGGACATGCAATGGCCACACTTAATGACTCCATTGTCTTTATTAGACCATCCTACTCTGTTTGACACTTGAGGGTAGGCCCTTTACAGAAGAGATTTACTCAGCTCATGGTTCTGGAGGCCAGACAGCATGGCACTAGTGTGATGAGGGCCTTCTGGCAGGTAGCACTCCAGGGCCAGAGCTCTTGCAAGAGAGTTTATATTCTGAGAGAGAAGAGGGGACGGCTTGCTCTTTTATAATAGCCACTCCACTCTGGGGAGATGTACCCAACTCTGGCAAGATGGCCTACTCTGAGAGACCAGCAGCACTCCTTTCCCAGGATGGTGTCCTGTGACTGCAGTGCCTTCCATGAGGCATCCCTCTTAATGATCCAGCTCTTCTCAGCAAGGTCAGGACTCAGCTACCACACAGTGAGCCGTGGGGAGCACCACAGCCAAGTGTGGCGCTGTGCAGTCCTTGTTTTCTTCAGTACTCTTCCTCACTGCCGTAAAGAGAGTTCATTTTCATTTGATCTATTTAGAAAAGAGTTAAGTGCTTTTTAATGAACTTGAGTCGAATTCAGTTTAGTTGATAACTTGCTTTAGCTGAGAGTTTGATAAATTTGCACTTGAAAGTGATTTTTAGCACCATGAAGATACCAAGTAATTGTCATTTTCCTTTCCACAGTGGTGTTCGTCCATTTGGTGTTTCTTTACTTATTTGTGGTTGGAATGAGGGACGGCCATATTTATTTCAGTCAGACCCATCTGTAAGTATTATTTGATATATTTGGAGAATTTTTTAAAATTTTTCTTTGCATATCTAATAAAAATATTAGCCATAGAAACTTTTCTTTTTATTTGGCCTTTTGGATGTGTTGTTACAGACTACATTAGTTTTGCCCTTTTTTCGGTCAGTAATGTCACATACTTCAATGACTTGTTGAGTTGTTATCTAATCTCATTAAGTCTGTCGAATTTTGTTATTTTGGAAAATGCTGTAATTAGAGATAGAGACCTAGAAGACATTGTAATCTTTGCCATGAATGTCTTTAATCCAATGTTTATAAAATGAGGGTGCACCTAGTATCTTCACTGAGTTTGGGGCTCTAAAACCAGAGCTTAGTATCTAGGTAAGAAGGTGTCGTAGAGAAAGTACCACTCTATAATTGTCTCCTTGCTGTGAGAACCTTTATCTTTCATTGTGGATTATTAGATAATTACAAGGTCACCGAGTGTAAACCTTATGCTATACCCCTGTAAACCTGAAAGGCAAAAGAAAAATATTTTGGTTGTTACTTAGATCAGAAAAGTAAGTATTTGGGGAACTACTGCCAGTGTTGTTACCCCATCTCTGAGCATTTGAAGCTAAATGACAAGCTCCCTCTTCTGCCTCCCAGTGGGTAACAAAAGCCACCATCTGTGAAAGCATGTTCATCTTTTGTCCTGTTGTTTCTTTATGTATTTGGTACAGGGTCTCACTATACAACTTGGACTCGTAGTGATCCTCCAGTTTCAGCTTCCCCAACACTGGGATTATAGGTGTGCGCCATCACACTTGGTCTTGGTGGCTGGCTCAGTGTGCCCAGGGTGGAACTGGCAGAGCATGTGGTGCCAGGGATCAGAGCTGGGTCCTTGTGCTTGCCTAAGCAAGCACTTAAACTGCTGAGCTATCTCTGTGTCCCTGCCTTGATGTTTCTGGTATCTAGAAGGAAACTGTTTAATATTTTGGATAAGTTTTTGTTAGGGCTCTTTTCTATGTGCATGTGTACATTTTTCAACACATGAGGTCATATTACATATTACATTGCTGCTACTTTTATTTTGCTTCAGATTATAAGGTTATCAAAACCTTTTGTTTTTAATGAAAAATACCTTTTTAATGTATTCACTAATGCCAATGAATTGATCACTACTTTTAAGTTTGTATGATTGATGATCAAGTCCCTTGATGATTTGCTTTATATTATCCTTAGTTTTCTTTTACTGGCTTTTTAAAAAACATATGCTAAATTGGCTCATCAGCATCCCATCCCTGTCAGCGTGATGCTTCGATAAATGTGAATGCCCGAGGAAACCATCCTCACACTCAAGATACCAAACTTAACTTGGAGATTTCTTCATCTCCACCAGAGATTTCTTCTGTCATCCACCCCGCTTACCTTTTACAAAACAACCAGTGATACTTTCATTGCATCTCAGGAAAAACTCTTATGATCTTAGAAATTAGAGAATAATTGTAGAGTTAAAAAAGCAAATGGCAGAACATATAAATGTGTTAATGTTTTTAAATATGGCTCTTTTTTGTTAACAATCAGGGAGCTTACTTTGCCTGGAAGGCCACAGCCATGGGAAAGAACTATGTGAATGGGAAAACTTTCCTTGAGAAAAGGTAGGCTCACTGTAACTGGATTCTCTGACAAGATCATTTAATGGTTTTCAGCACTCTTAATTTAGTAACTTCATGAATCTGAATAAATGTGTTGTGTTACTCTGTATTTGAGCCTGGCTACAGGCACACAAAAACTTGTCAACATCCTGGCATCCTAAACTTGAGTAGACTGAGTGGTAATATTATTCATGTTGAAGGGACATCCTAGGGCCGGCCAGATAGCTCAGCAGACTAAATGCCTGCCGAGGCAAGCGCAGGGACTAGGGTTCAGTCCCCTGTTCTGTGCCAGCCGTGTGCCTGGGCCACACTGAGAATGTAACTGAGACTGGGTGTGGTGGCGCACACCTGTAATCCCAGAAATTGGGAGGCTGAAAACAGGAGAATCACTACCAATCTGATCTACGTAGTAAGACTATAGACCCTGTACTAAATACAGTTGAAAAAAAAAGAAAGGACTTCTTTTTTTACATTCTTTTGGTTATATCCAAAGTGTTTTGTTTTACTTCATTTTCCCCACCATTAAAAAAAGAAAAAAACAATCAAAAGAATGTTGCATTTAAGAGTAGGAAAAAGTTTAAATGATTCAACATTACTATATGTGACAATAAAAATTGTAGGACCAAATACTTGGTATTGATACAAAATGTATGGTAGAGTGGTGGGGCACTGTAAGATCTGCTATCTATCAGTGCAGCAGGCTGCTGTGTCTATTTCCAGCTGTGTTCAAGACTCAGTATTATGTTGTCCTCCAAAACTGCCTCGCCTTTGAACAGAAAGATTGTTTAATTGGCTTTGACTAGCAGATGATCCTTCCCTGCAGTCTTCATATAATATTAATGGTGAATGGTAGTGATGAATTATTAAAGATAAATGGTAAACTTAGCTGTGGGATCATAAAGCACTTTTCTTTAACTTTACTTATTAGTGAGTCTTCCAAATATTTCACATGTTTTATAGGTGATAAGAACAAACAAGTCTATCAAAGGATTTTTTGCTTTTTTAAAAATTATTACAATATATGCTGCTGTCATACCCCAGTTACATTAATGCATTAATACTTAAGTTTCCTAAAATAAACTGACTTAAGGATTATATTCTTGGTGTTGAGGATTAAGTACTAAGTAATAGTCTTTTATTTGGGCACATCTATCTCATGATTTGGAGGAATTAATATATAATTTAGTGTTTTAAGAGTTTCTTAGATTTTTAGAAATTCTTAATGCTGTTGGTATCATTGTATAGTCATGAAGAATGTAAAGTACCTTAAAGTCATTTATTTATTTTTAGATATAATGAAGATCTGGAGCTTGAAGATGCCATTCACACAGCCATCTTAACCCTAAAGGTCAGCTCAGCACCTACCAACTGGTCTGTGGTTTTCTAACTGAGTGTTTGAAAAGTTGACCTTTCTTTTTCCCTTCCCCAACAGGAGAGCTTTGAAGGGCAAATGACAGAAGATAACATAGAGGTTGGCATCTGCAATGAAGCTGGCTTCAGGAGGCTCACTCCAACTGAAGTTAAGGACTACTTGGCTGCCATTGCCTAATAATGAAGGGACTGAGTGGCCAGAAATTTCAGATAATCGATCTACTTAAACATGTTTAAAGTATGTTTTGTTTTGCAGACTTTTTGCATACTTATTTCTACATGGTTTAATGGACTGATGTTTTTAAAATGACACTTATAAATCATAATAAACTGGTAAATCCAACTTCCAGGTTTTTAGGAGTTAGTAAAATTTTAACATTTTTCCTGACATTTTTAACATCAAACATTTTATTTCCAGATACTCATTGCAGTTGATTTTTAGAAACTACACTGCAAGCAAAAAGATGACGTGCACGAAGTCACTGTTAGGATCTGTGCAGTTCGGTTCAATCAGATCACCACCTCATTTATAGTGGTGCTGCCTTTTTCTGGTTTTGGTGAATTGTTTTTTGGAGCTGAGAGAACCTGCATGAGACAGATAAGCACAAGTGTTGAGTATATTTATGGGTCGGGCCAGTGAGGTCTGAGCAGTGGTGGGGAACCTGTGGCATTTGCGCCCCCAGACAGCTGTCACTCAACGCTCCAAGGTTTGCCTTCACTGTCCTTGAGTGCTTTGTTTGACTGCACTGAGCTGTGAGAGTTGCACCACACAGGTCTCCTGTGAGAGACATTCTATAAGAAATAGCTGCCATCTGCTTGTCCTATTAGTTTCTCTATCACAAGTACATAAGAATATTTAAAAGAAATCCCTAAGTTATATAGATTTGCTAGTTCAAGTATGGACATCAGTGCTGGAAATAAAATAGTAATCTTAAATGTCAAAATTGGCTTAAGGCTCTCCATCAATTTGGCAATCAGAGCCTTTGCTGTAAGGTTTTTAAGCGGAAGGAAATAGTGGCATATTCACATATGGGATGGTTTTGTTTCTTTGGATTTTTTTTTAAAAGGACATTTTAGGAATTTTTTTTTTTTTCCCCAGTACCGGGGATTGAACTCAGGTCCCTGAGCTTACCAGGCAAGCGCTTATTCCACTGAGCCAGCTCCCCAGCCCCTAGGAAAAATACTAATCTGGTTCATAGAACAGAGTTCATGAGTGTCATTAGTCTTAACAATATAAAGAGGTAGGCAGTTACATGATTTAGGTGTAGTTAAAAACTTCAAGATTTAGCGCTAAGTTTAGAGCATTTTTAACAGGGATTGCACTTCTGCTACTTCTCCCATGACACCCATGTCTTGTTGCGGTGGCAGAAGCATTTCAGGAGATAGGCACTGGTTCCCCACATCCTGCTTGAAAGTATCTGTCTACCAATCTGTCCTTGTGAGCTGCTGGTGTATTATGATTCCAGCACTAGAAAGTGAACATAGTAGTGAAAAGGAATGACTTTGAAAGCTAGTTGTCTCAGGGATTCTGTTTTGTTTTTGACTAAATTTCATAAGTGTAAAGCCTGGCCTGATTAATAGTTAACGCTTTGAATTTATATAGGCCCTTTCCAGTGTCTCAAATTAAGAAACCAGAAGAATGCCCAACTTCTACAAATCAAATTTTCGTACAGTGCTAACAGTTCATTCTACAGAATAAAAGGAAAAGTTCATTGAAGAGGATTTCTGCCTCTTGGCCCAGGAGCAGGTCCAGTTGAGGCTGCCTCCAACTCTGTTCCCTTGTGCTCAGTTTATTCCTTTCATTGTCCTTACTTTTTTTCTTTTAAATGTTTTTATTTTGGTTTTAATCTTTTTTTTTTATTTGGTATAGGGTCTTGCTACACAGCTTGGGCTCATAGTGATCCTCCTGTCTCAGCCTCCCCAGTACTGGGATTACAGATGTGTGCCATCACACCTGGTTTCAGTGGTTGGCATGGTGTTGGTTCTAGGACTCCTTACAGTATGCGTTGCTGGGGATCAAACCCAGGTCCTTGGGCTTGCCAGGCAAGTGCTTAGACTACTGAGCTATCTCCCTAGCCACTGTCCTTACTCTTAAGATGTTCCCTTTTGTCCAGTTCTTGGGAGGCTCATTTCTTAATTATCGCAATGCTTTTAATGTTTGCAAACCCCCTACTTTAGGTTCAGTTTATATCTTAGAAAAACATCATCTTGTGCCAGCCTTTCCCTGATCCAGTTCCTTACTGAACCATTAATTTACAGTTATAAAACAATTATTTGAGAAACAGAAATGTTTAAAATTCACATATTGGCAAGAGAAAATGGGTAAATGAGAGTACAAATACAGAGCTTATGCTCACTGCATGCTAGAATGTTGCATATCAGTATAGGAGCATCAGAAAACTTCAGGTGTTACTCACCGTTCTCATGGAAGGACTCCACTAGCACTGTGTAACCTCATCTCTATCCATGCGTCTCCTTGCCAGCGTAGGCAAGTTCTCTGATCCCCCACTGTACAGAATAGCAACTGTTCTGTGATTTCCAGTAACGTGGAGGAGGAGCTGGTCACACCCTTGGATTAAAGTCCTGATTGCTGGAAAAGCAGTCCAGGTGTTTGACATAAGCATCGCATTGCCTTATGGTTCTGCCACTTAAAACTGTGTGCTGGAGCCTATTGCTTAGTGAAACCTTGCAGCCAAGTAAATGATAATACGCTGAGCATGAGCATGTATTCAAAATGTGAAAACACTTCATCAGCAATGTCTCGAGTTCTGCCTTCACTTTTTATTTAGGTGTTTCATCCATTGATTCCTTGACCCCATATTTTAAAATAAGTTAATAATGGTCTTTAGAGGCCTGAAGTTTCGCCCCCGTGTGGACACTGCTCTGCCAGATAAGAATGTAGAGTTCTATCACCCTCACAGCCATTTCTTCCTGCCTGAATTTACTCCATTCATCATGCTTCCTTGACAGGGTTTTTCCTGTGACTATAAGTATGCTTTGACTGTTTCCTTGTAACTCTCTTGTTGATTATATTGCTTCACTGGGGTTTGGAGTGTGTTTTGTGTTGTCTTCATCTGTTGATTTGTCGTGTAACCATCTCAAATTGCCAGCTTCCCTGAAGAAAACTAGAAAACCCTCTGTGCATACTATTTTCTTCATGGCAGCAAATATGTGAGCTGTCACAATTCTCTCTCTGATGCTTCCCAGAAGTTTCTGTCTCCCTGTACCAACCCAGGGTAATAGGTTGCTTGAAATTAGTTTCTGAGTTGGCTGGGTTCAGAATTCTACTTTAGAAATTATCTCCACATTTTGAAAGCATTACGCCTTTCTCAGTTCTAGTGCTGCTGATGGGAGCCTAAGGCTTGTATGACACCAAACCCTTTGTTTATAATTTTCCCAGTCCAGCTCTTAGGTTTTCTTTTATCTGTAGTAGTCCAAAGTTGTACAGTGAATTTTCATTTTTGGTTTGAAAACTTACACTAATTGGATGCTGGAGCTTTTTGTATTGGCTATATTTTAGCTATTTTCAGTATTTGTCCCCCCAGTTTCTGTTAATATTTAAAGTTGGGTATTTGGGGGGATATTTTATTTTAAATTGCTTATTTTTATAAGTACATGGTTGCTGTACATAATGATTATATTCATTGTAGTGAGGTGGTACCTGTGTATAACATTTCAGCTCTTTGGAGGTGCTTTTGGCCAAACTGTTGCCTGTCCTCTTCATCTCTCAAGAAATCTTTGCTTTATGGCCAAATTTTATTTGAAAATTCTAATAAGATACTTTTTTAAACCACTTTATTTCCTTGAAAAAGTTTGGAAGGAGTTGTGAGTGAGGTCAGCCCTGCTTTCTGGGAGATGCTCCATGTCCGATTTCTCTGAGGTCTTTCATTTGCTTAATTTTGCTGCAGAAAAATAAGGTTAGGGTAGGAGTGGCAGTCAGAGGGGTGCCTGTGTTCCTGGAGGAACAGAGGCCCCTGTTTTGTAGGAAGAGGACTGCCTAGTGGCTCCTGTTTGCCATCTTTCATTGGAACCCCTGGCTCTATCTTCAGTGTCCCAGCTCTAGTCTTCTGCCCTGGGAAGGGCACAAAGTGATCCGGCTGCAGTGGGTGGGAAAGAAGACGTTGATGTTCCCCAGGCCCACTTCATTCTTGCCTTCAACCTTCCAGGCACCTGGAGTTTCAAGTTACTTTGTGATTCACTGGCTGAATAACCCCTTCTGCAGGCACTTTTCTCAGCTCTGCTGAGAGGTCCTCTGGGTTTATATAAGTAAAATACTGTACGTTGCTTTTTAGGTTAGGAAGACAATATAAGTAGAACATTTCCAACAGTGCCATCTGCGGTACTGAGCTACTATTTTATGAAAGTGTATTAAAGCTCTTTCTTGTCTGTTATTGTCTCTTTTTGTCTTGATCCCCATTTAACACTTTTCCTGTCGTTTAAGTAGGTTGTGGAACAGGAGCAGAATAGCTGGGATTAATTTTGATCGGGTGTCTCAATGTTTAGAATTAGTTTACGTTCTCAAATCCAGTCATTCTCGGTGGCTTTGGACACTGCCCTCCTCGGTATGGCACAGCCCTTGGTACACTTTTGGAAGCGTTTTAGGGAATGGCACAGGGCCTTCTTAGGAAGCCACAACCCTGGCCCTATTTGAAAGGAGATCTAAGTTGCCCAGCCTTCCAGAGTGCATCGCCACACCTGTCTTGTACAGCACAGTGTAGTGCAGTGGATTCTCACGCAGTCCAGCAGAGTGGGAACTCCCCGCTGTCCTTTCCTGGTGCCTTGGGTCAGATGGAGTTTAGGGTTTGCCTCAAGCCGACCTCGGGGGTGGGGGAGGTGCCCTCAACAAACATGGTTGCCACGCCGGCGTCAGCAGCGTCCCACAGGCCACGCAGCCGCCTGGGAATCGCAGGCTCGGCGTCGCCCAACGCGGGGTCACGTGATGTGGGAGGCGCCGGAGGCGGGGGAAGGTGTCCTGTGGCGGAGCGGCACTGGCGTCCAGCGAGGCAGGCTCTGCCGGGGTGAGGGCTCCGGGGTCCAGCTTCGTGTGCCTGTGCTGCTCGCTCACGCTCGCGGTCCTGGGCGCTGCTGGTGAGAAGCCGGGAAGGTAGAGGAGGGGCAGGCGGCCCGCGGGAGGGAGGGAGGGAGGGGGGCGCTGCGTCCCCGGCGTGGCGCCCGCAGGCCACAGCTGCGTGCTGTGCCCGGTTCAGCCCCGCTCCACTCCCTCGGGGTTGGCGTGGTGGAGTGGCGTCCTGCCTGCGCCTGGCGGGTGGAGCGGGCCGGCCGCGGCCGCCTGGGTCTGTTAACGTGCAGTCCAGCGGGTCCTGATTTCCGGCCAGGACACAGTAGCCATAGAAGCTGAGGGGAGCTGGTGAAAGACAGCGTGGAGGGGAGGAGGCGGGGGAGGCAATGTGGCCCGGCAGGCAGGGGTGCACACACCAGCCTTGCATAGTGCTTCTGGTTTTATGTTGAGCATTTTATCTGCGTGTTCTGAAAGTTGCTAGAATTTCTCAGCAGGGTAGCAATGAATCCTGGCTTCTGAAGAAAAGAAGCTCCAAACAACTGCGGAAAGTTAAAAAATACTGTATAGCTTTCCTTAGCGATTAAGAGGGGGAGACCCTTTAAAGTTAGACTGATGGAAGTCCAAGCTCACAGACTCGGGCCCCATTAACTTTGTCAATAGAGTGAGGTTTTTCGTCTTCATCGTTTTGGGTTTTGGAAAAGGGCTTAATTTGCCTTGTTTGTTGTCATCTCATAGGAAAGGAATAATGCTGGCAGCATGTCTGCACACTCCATGCTCTGTGAGCGCATCGCCGTAGCCAAAGAACTCATCAAGAGAGCAGAGTCACTTTCTCGATCAAAAAAAGGTGGCATAGAAGGGGGTGCAAAGCTGTGCAGCAAACTGAAGGCAGAATTAAAATTTTTACAGAAAGTAGAAGCTGGGAAAGTAGCTATTAAAGAATCTCATTTGAAAAGCACGAATCTAACACACTTGAGAGCCATCGTGGAATCCGCAGAAAACCTGGAAGAAGTGATTAGTGTTCTTCATGTCTTTGGTTACACAGAT